CTTTCGATAGTAGATACCACTCCTTAATCAGAATATCTGTAGCTCTTGCATCGTCTTTGAAGAAAATTAAATATCGCACATCCTTTCCACCAGAAACACAATCACCCCCAAAACAACCCACCCTCATAAAATTTATTGTCGTTATCGTTGATGGGCTAGTCTAGCTTTCGTACTGGGAAGCTAGAAGATCTTGAACACTGCCTCATTTTCTACATAAGACTCGATAACGTTCATCACAGTGAGAGTAAAGTACTTATGGGTGACGTGCATGGACTTTGAATCTAGAACTCGGAAGAATTAATTTATTATCTGCCTCTGTGTATTCTAAACCCAAGAAACAGAAGTTATTTTCAAACTCTAAAAGTATTCACACAATAAATAATTACATAAGGGTCAGCACCAACCGACGGATGGCAATGCGGAGGACATTAAATTTATCAATGTATATTTGACGCTATTATCATTGAAATTACGTATAAATTACAATGCCCTGAGACGCAGAGAGAAATGCGCTGCAATACTCCGATGTCGGTCCCGGAGCATTGAAATTTATATCTTATTTCAATTGAAATTTCATAAAGCGATACATTGATAAATGTAATGATCTCTGTCTTCCCGTCCGCCAGTTTGCGCTGGCCCTTAATTATCCATATCACCTGTTTTTGTATGAATATTATAATAAGATGAGATGAAAAGATGGCCACCGGAACGTTCGTCACACAAAGCACAAAATTCAAATGCAAGATTTTATACGCAAACCTTCAGTATTATTTTCTACAAATATAATAGTTTTGTATTATTTTTTGTACAATTGAATATCGTATACTTTCAGTTTAAATCACTGCAGTCACAAATCGCTAATTGAATGAAAGTGAGCTTGATTCTTCGCCACCTCTTTATTTAAGTTATATCAGGTCGATAAAATTATAGTGAGTAATTATACGAGATACATTGATAAATGTAAAGTATTTATACAAATTTTTGGTTACACTCTACTACTTGCGGATTTCGCGTATATTTGTTAGAGCTCTGCAAATATTTACAAGATATACAATTTTGATCGAGTTTCGGGTAATCTAACGGGCAAAAATACTGCATAAAGCATAAATTTGATAATAACGTACTAACCAATAACATTACTTTCAACCCCTCGGATCTTAACCTTTCTATTGTACAAGTAGCCCAGATACGAACTTTTGCAAACGTGCTTCAGCTTGTTTAGTCATTGCCTAAGTGGTTTTCCGGCCCTTCGTGTTATTGTTATTGAACTTTCCTAATATCTTGTTTTATTTTGAAAATATGAACAAAATGCTCATACTGAAAGATTGATTTTTGAGATTTTCATCAAGATCAAATATTTGCTTGTTGAATTTGTCACTGAAGTTAAAATGATACGGGAAGTCATAAAATCAGACACATGTGAGTGTTAAAGCAATTAAAATTGTTTGGTGGTCCTGCGACATTATTAATAAATTAGGCTATAGAGTACATATTCTCGGATACGGATCTGCCCTAATAAGTATAATAAACGAAGCGTGCCATCATATCGACTAAAATACTACAAATGAATTACTAGAATAGATAAGACAGATGACACTTGAACCTAGGTAAGCGATGCAAAGAAAAAACGAGGTATATATAATATAAGTTACAGGTTATATAACAAACACGGTACATTAATATTTTCACACATACTAATAAATATGTTCAGTGATCACATTTTAACTGAAATTCAATATTATGCTAAAAAATTATAGACTATTTATTCAATTGTGATGGTTATCCTATCTGTGGAGAACGTAGAAGGGGATGTTCAGCAAGTAAGGGAAGAGCTCACCTTTGAAATAAATGTACACATCCTCGAAGAACATGTTCAGTTAATAAAAGTGAGGCTCCTATGGTGGGCGATCCAACGGATAGTCAAGAGGTTTGCTATCAATAAAGAAGTTGAAGTTATCATATTCCTTAGAAGGTTGTTGTAGTGGTCAGGATAGACAAAAACAAACAGCTGGAAAGGGAAGCCAGAGTCGATACCCTTAGGCGGCATCAATATCTTAAGGATGTATTAAGGTTTCTCAGACATTTCAAGAGGCAGCTTGCCTTGTTCCAGGTATTTATAGAACTCAGTGACCAGAAAGAGTCATCTTTGAAGTCGAAGAAGTCAAGAAGATGTTAATTTTTATTTTGTTGGGAATTTTATTAAATTTTTTGTTACCATTTAATGCGGGGCAGATAAATTTGTAATACGTAGTTTTGAAGAAGTTATTTTTAATTTGTGTACATTTTTAGTATTACGTTTTATATTTAGTGGTAAATAATGTTTGTTTTCTAGCAAATTTGCAAGCCTCCAAATCCATTTCCATCATCATCATTACGTCCATTTTTTTCCTGTGCATAAGATTCAATAATAGAACACATTAGTGAAATAAAACAAAAAAAAATCCCCATTTTTTATGTAAATATTTCCCAATAATTTGTAACGCGTAGTGACCTCCAAATAGTAAATAAAATTGAGCGATCGTCGCCGAGTTGTCTAGACGCCTAGGCGCCAGCACGTCGCGCCGCGCGACGACAGACCTGCGCTAACGCATCTTTTTTTTTTTAAGGATATTTTGCAGTTGGCCGCTGATGACCTTAACTGCACCACCGGAAAAAAGGGCGAGCTGAAGACTCATAACCCCTAAAATAAACTTAAAACTAAGTAGCGGGCCTGAGGGCGCCCAAGTGGGCACGGACCTCAGCTCAGGGCGCTACTGAAGACTTCCGCCAGAAGGACGTGCTATAGGAAAGAATCTACCAGTGTACGTGCTGAAATAAGGGGCTCTACGACCTCGCCGGCGAGGACGGTTGGGGCTAGTAGAGATGGACTGATTTGCGATCTGTGGTCTTCAAAGTGGCGAAAGAGATAGGGTCGTCAAGGTCTTGGAGGACTTCCCTTGGTACGGGTTCTACGTACGAGGTGGGGGTATTTCATGAATTGGGCTATTGTGGAGGTTGCGCTAACGCATCGCGCGTTAGTTTAATACTTCGTTGTCTGTCAAATAAATAAACTCGCGCGCTGACTCCGCCCCCACACCGTTCTTGTTGCCATAGCAACGGCGTCTGCTAATCATCGGGTGTCAATATTGTTCACAATTTTTCGGAAAGTTCTAAGACGTCGTAGCTTATTAGGTAATTTGTTAACTATTTGAAAAAAAAACTGAACATGTTTAGGAAATGAAACTATTTCTTCCGGATTTAAATCGCGTACTTATATTTGTTTTTTCAAACAAACCGACGTTTCGGCCCCTTACAGGTCCCATGTTCATGGTTGACTGAGGTGGTGCAGTCATCAACCAGTTATGTCTAATATTAATGCTAACCATCCTATTTTTCACTATAGTTACAAAAGTTATTAATTAAATAAATACCTTATTTTTAATTTAGCAAAGAAAACATTAAAAATTTACTCTACATTACGTTTTACAAATTATATTGTTGAGTGAATTTTTATTAATTTAAATTGATTATTAATGAACAATAGAAATTAGAATAAATTAAAACATATTAATTAGTACTGCCAGTAGTAGTAGTAGTAGCCAGATTGACACACCAACTTACAAACTGGCTCAACACATGGCAAAGGTACTGTCACCATTGAGAGGGAACACTTCTACATATGTGAAGGATTCATGCCATTTCATCAGTGGAATAAAGATCTACGGTTAACTGATGATGACACCATGGTCAGTTTTGATGTTCAGTCGCTGTTCACCAACCTTCCAGTAAAAGACTGCATTGAAATTGTACGTAGAAAGCTAAGGGAACATAATAGGTATGTCCATTTAATACGCAGAATTATTAGAACACTGCCTAACATCAGGCTATCTATTGTGGAATAATGAATTCTACTTACAAATCGACGGTAAAGCGAAGAGCTCTCCGGTATCTCCCGTTGTTGCTGATATTTTCATGGAAGAGTTCGAGAAGCGAGTAAAACAAAAATGGGTATATATATATATATATATATTTTTTAAATATAAAAATTAATTTTCAAAATCGGTAAGTACACTGATATGTCCGTAAAATTTGAGGATTTTCCTCGGTTTCCATGGATCCCTTTATCAGATTCTGCCTTGGTGTAACGTATAACCTCCTCCTTTTCTTTGAAATCGGTTAAGATTAGTGACAGACATAATAACTAACTAACTTCTACAACAAGATTCCGGTTGATATTCAAAATTTGCCATTCACAAGGTTTACAGCATCTGTGTACTTAGAAGACAAAAATCCGTGGTAATGACCCATTTTGCTTTTGCAGATAATCTCGGTCTACGATGTTTGAAATAAATTGTAATATTGCAAATGATAAATGTGTACAAATGTTTATTTACTAAGAGCAAACCCTAGAATTTCTTACCCATTATTCTCAGGGGACTCTGACTTCCGAATGAGCTGTATCTAGTGCAATTTGCTTACCTATGAAATAAAGATTCTTTGAGTTTGAGTTTGAGTATTTCCTTGGGAGACATATTGTATACGGAAAGCCATACACGCGCCCCGAAATAGGTTATGCACATGCATACACAACGTCGATAAAACGTGACGCACATTCTCGTATTTATTTAGTAATTTATAAAAAACTTTTATTTTTGTTCTGTTAACTTATAATAAAGCTTTATAGAACAAAGCTCATAAGCTCTTTTGGTTATAGGTGTAACAACAAAATAACAAAAAATATGACAGGGAAGACGAGAATAAATAATGATGGAAAACTACTGTATAGAATTTGCATTGTCTAGATTTAAAAATCTGTCAGATCATAAAATTACTGATAAAGGTATACGCACCAGCCAGTGTACGTCTTTAGTTAGTACGTGACATGTTAAATTGAACAAAACATATTATTTTTAGATGATAATAAGTCACCTAAGGTTACAAGATAGTTGATTCGCTGTTTCGAAGTTGATAAGTTCTCTGATAAAGAATTGAGAAAGTATAAAAGGGTAACTCGGTACCAGTAGAGGTACAGTCGGCGATCTGTCAGGAAATAATGAAGACAGTCGTGTTTCTCGCTGGCCTTGTGGCCTTGGCTATTGCAGGGACCGTCCCTTCGCACCATCAAGTGGCAACCAAACCTGGTAGAAATTGTTTTTATTTACTTTGACCACTTATTTAAAGTTAAAACTTGCGATATTTTACGATTGGAATTCACACAGTCTACTTTTTTCTCCAGAATATTTTCATTGAATTTTTTTGCGAACTTTTACTGCGAACTAATTTCATCGTAACTCAATTTCAGTTGATGCGGAATTTGTTGCAAAACAAAAGAAGGTTTTGTCCCTCTTTGCCTCTATCGGTCAGGTTTACCCTGAAGCCGAATGGTACAAAATCGGCAAGGAATACGACGTCCATGCTAACATTGACAACTATACGGTAAGCTTCTTAGGAGTGTGTTACAAAAATAACTAAAATGTTTTAAAATATTTTACAGCAACTAGTGTTTGAAAATAATAAACTTCATTTTAACTTTATTTTTATCTTTCAGAACAAGAAAGCCGTTGAAGAGTTCCTGACTTTGTACAAATTCGGTTTTATGCCGAAATATGAGGTCTTCTCGATCTTCTACGAAAATATGAGGGAGGAGGCCGTTGCCCTCTACCACTTATTCCACTACGCCAAGGACTTTGATACCTTCTACAAAACCGCTGCTTGGGCTCGCGTGTACCTTAACGAATATCAATTTGTCTACGCTTTCTACATTGCTGTGCTCGTACGTCCAGATACCAAAGGCTTGCTTGTACCGGCTCCTTATGAAGTCTACCCTGAGTTCTTCACGAACACCGAAACCATGACCAAGGCTTACCGCATGAAGATGCAGGATGGTACCAACCAGCCTGACATCGCTCGCAACTACGGTGTTGTCAAGGAAAATGATTACTACGTCTACTATGCTAACTATTCCAACTATTGGAACTACGATAATGAAGAACAAAGACTGTCTTACTTCACTGAAGACATTGGCCTTAACTCTTACTACTTTTACTTCCACATATACCTCCCCTTCTGGATGAAGGGCGATGACTATGGTATTCTGAAAGAGCGTCGTGGTGAATTCTACTACTATTTCTACCAACAATTAATGGCTCGTTACTACTCCGAACGTCTTACAAACGGCTTGGCTGAAATTCCTGAATTCACTTGGTGGAAGCCAATCAAGCATGGATATAAACCTTTCTTGTCTACTCTGTACTATCCCTTCATCCAGAGGAATGACTACTACACAATTCCTGCTGATAAATACTACGAAGAACTTCAATTCTTGGACACTTACGAGAAGACCTTTATGCAATACCTGCAGCGAGGACACTTCCAGGCCGTAAGTAAAATTATTACAAGGATTTCTATTAAAATATGTTTCAATAAACATAATTTAACTAAGGATATTTATTTTCAGTATAAACAAGAAGTCGATTTCCATAACTCCAAGTCCATCAACTTCGTTGGTAACTTCTGGCAAACTAACCCCGACCTGTACGACCACTCCTCGCCTAGAAACTACTTCCGGTCTTACGAAATGACCGCCCGCCAGCTCCTTGGTGCTGCCCCTGAGCCTCTTGATAAGTAAGTGAATCCTTTATCTTTGAGCGAATTAACTCATTTCTAATATTCAAGATGTTTTACTATCGCAACGATTATTGTTATATCTTCACAGACTGTTTTTTTTTATAGATACACGGTTCCGCCTTACGCCCTGAACTTCTACCAGACCTCTCTGCGCGATCCCGTGTTCTACCAGCTCTACAGCAAGATTCTCAAATACATCCTAGAGTACAAAGAACACCTAGAGCCCTATACTCAGGACAACCTCCATTACGTTGGTGTAAAGATCAATGACGTGCACGTTGACAAACTGGTTACATACTTCGACTTCTATGACTATGATATCACCAATGGAGTGTACAAGAATATGGAGGAACTCAAGACCATGACTCCCAGGTACAAGGTTCGTCAGCCGCGTTTGAGTCATAAGCCTTTCACCATTACCATCGATGTCAAGTCTGATATTGAAGGCGAGGCCGTATTCAAAGTTTTCTTGGGTCCCAAGTACGACAGCAAGGGTTACCCCATCAATATTGAGGACAACTATATGAACTTCTATGAACTAGATTGGTTCACATACAAACTCAAATCCGGTCAAAATAAGATTGAGCGTGATTGCAATGAGTTCTTCGTCTTCAAAGATGACTCTCTGCCCGTCACTGAAATCTATAAGTACTTAGAACAAGGCAAGGTGCCTCTTGAAATGTCTGAGAAACCCGAGTACTTCCCTAAGAGATTAATGCTGCCTAAGGGTACCGATGGTGGTTTCCCATTCCAGTTGTTCGTTTATGTCTATCCTTACCAACAACCTCCTAAGGAGTATGAGAACTTCAACTTCTTAGTTGATAGCAAACCTCTTGGCTATCCGTTGGATCGCCCGCCATACGAGCCTTACTTCTACCAACCCAACATGTTCTTCGAGGATGTGTACATTTATTTTGAGGGTGAGCACTTCCCTTACTCTCTGAACAACCCCTTCTACGTTCCCCACCGAAACGACATGCATCACAAATGAATAAATAGTCTACAATATTTTAGCATAAATTAGCTTCACAATAGAATCTCAGTTAAAATGTGAGCGCCGAACATATTTATTTGTATGTATGAAAATATTAATGTACCTTGTTTGTTAATAAAACCTGTAAGTTATTTTATATATACCTCTGTTTTTTTCTTTGCATCGCTTTTTTTATATAATATCAAGAGACAGGACGGACAAGTCGTGCGTCTTATGGTAAGCTACACGCCTGTCCATAACAGCAAAAATTCGAGGGGCACTGCCACTGCGCCCGTCATTCTGAGACATAAGTTGACAAGTCTCATGTGCCTGTAATTTCACCGACACCCTTACCCTTCAAAACCGGAACACAGTAATGCTGACATTACTGCTTGGCGGCAGAAATAGGTAAGGTGACATTACTTTCCTAGACGAACTTTTTCACAAGGAGCTACTAAAACTTACCTAGGTTCAAGTGTGATATTATGACGGCCCACTTCATTTATTATATTTACTAGTTCAGATCCGTTTTTTGTACCTACAGACCTTTAAAATATTATATGTGTGAGAATATGTACTCTACATATAGATGACCTTGAAGTTTTAAAACACTATATCTAATCTACATATACACACACACATTACATACGCTCACTCACTGTTTACATACACATTTACGTGAGATCAAGAAGTTGCACTTTCTTTCTTTCTTTCTTTTTATTTTTAACTTTACTCTGAATTGGAATTACCCCTTTTACATTTTTTTTTATTACACGCATAGCTATACTATCTGTAATACCATTACCGTAAAGACTCACTTATGTTTACACTTTATTTTGATTTGTTTTGACTGAAGATTTGATTTTATGAAAATTATATTTGTTACGCCTAACTGAACACTGCCTCCTAAGATACAGTCTTTTGTCAAGTTTAGGAGACAGAATTTCCTAAATTTAGTACGCGTTCTGTTATATTCTGTGCTACTTTATATCCACACTTATAGTTTTGTATTTGCTGCTCTGTACAAATTGTAAGTCAAGATTTTTAATAAGATATTGTATTATTATTAATTAAACCTAACCTAATTACATGGTATTTTTAATGAGGTTTCTGGAGAACTGACCTCTTTTTATACCTACTATAGTTCTTCGTGTACGTTTTTGAATAATAAAAACACTATTCGACTCAGTTGAGATATCCAAGTTTTTCACACAGAGACTGTATATGTGATTTCCAGTTTAATTTTACAAGTATTCACAATGGAACTATAGAGGTAGTAATTGGCCATGTTATAGAATTTCTTCCTGAGAACAACGGAAGGTTCAACTTCGATGTGTTAAGAATAAGTCCATTCCCAGAGAACCACTCACACAGTTGCTTGTACGTGTAGACTATTTTTTTTCCAACTTCTTACAGTTTTCAGCACATACTACAACGGTTGTGTCGTCCGCAAATAGAACCTCCAGTCCTCTGATATAAAGTACTTATGGCAGATTGTTGATGAATGCTAGAAATAGTGTATTACCTGAGGCCAATGATGACGTAACCTATAGCTGACCTAGTTCTTGTATAATTTGTACTAACCTGAACCGTTTGTCTTCTGTTTGCTAAAAAATATATTAATAAGTTGTGAGGGATTCCGTTGATGCCATACACAGCTAATTTATAAATTAATAAGACACTTATTTGTTCAATTACATTGGCCGCCTTTGTAAGGTCGCAAAAAATGCCAGCAGTTTTATACTTATCGTCTATACTGGTAATAACAGAATCTACTATATTTTGCGCTGCAACTATAGTGGATTTACCTTCTTTTGTAAGCACATTGTCTGTCTGATAAGTCGTTTATATATTCGAAACTATGGTTATCGGTCTGTGGCTTTCAACATGGGCCATATACTTCTTCTCCTTGAACACGGGATGAGAATGACTCTCGTCCGGATGTTCGCGACATGCCGCTTGGCCCGAGTATAGCTGGAACGTTAAGCGTAGCTAAGGCCCGGCGGATGATGTCGTTGAGGGCTGCATGCCGGGAGATACAGCCGACGCTCAGCTGGCAGGAAAGACCGTGGTGATCCAGAGCATAGGACACCTATGCGATTCCAACTTGGACGTCGCTTCCAGACGTGCTCCGTCTATTGGGGTGCAGAGATTCATTAGTCATTGAAAGTCTTTTGGCATAGTATACTATCCCAGCTGCTTTGAATTAGATGGCATCATAAGAAGTTTTATATTAACTTGTATTGTTTAATATATGTGCATTTGTCTTGTTATCTTGCTACGTTTAAATTTTCTTTCTGAAAACTATTTGATCGATCTAGATATTTCATATTTTCTTTAAATATAAATAAAAAATATTTGACGACATTGCTCTGATCCCTATATATAACTATCCCTATAACTAAAGCACTTGTTTCGTGAAAATAGGAAACAACGACCGTTCCTCAACACCCAGACAATATAGATAAGTTAGTTTTTCTACACTGACCCAGCCGGGGATCGAATCCGGGACCTCAGAGATGGCGACACCATGGAAACCAGTGTGCAAGCCACTCGACCACAGAGGTCGTTATAATTATTTAGATTTGCTTCTATAGAAAGTTTTTTGTAACGTTTTTAATACAGTCCAATCTTTTGTCATTGCTTGTCAATCGTGTCAGGTCATAGGTCAGGTCATAGTTGTAAGTGTTTAGTTGTCCAGTTTAGTTTTAGAAAGTCAGTATTTGTGTAACTTTTGCAAATGAGAAAAACTTCATGGAAGGAGTATGGAGATCGCATATCATTATTATTATTTTTTAGGTAAACAAAAATCAATTGTTTTTTCTTATTTTCTATTATATTGTTACACAAAAATAATGATATGGAAACGCCACACTCCTTCCATGAAGTTTTTCTCATTTGTAAAATCTTTTATTTTCTTCAAACATTATTTTATCCAATTTTGGCCACAAATTAATTAATTGAATGATAAATTAAATTGCATCAATATATTTGTGGTTTTGAATTTTAATTATTGTGATCTAAATTTTTATATTGGTCTTAAAATATTTCATAATTGTGATAATTAATGACAAAGCTTGTGTACGAGATTAATAATTAGTTAAGTTATTATCATTGTAGCGTTCCCTCACAGGGTTAATGTGCTGGAAAACTATTATGTAATACCTCTGTTAATCCACATGAATAAATGAATTATGTATTATCATTAACGCCACTTCTTGTTGTTTAAACTTAAGTTGTACGCATAAGGTCCATTTTTGTGATAAAGAATGTTTGGAATGCAGGAATTGACATTCTAATCTTGAGGAGCGCAGAGCATTGGCCATGAGATCGAACATGATAGCGCGCAAGTTCGGCAGATGTACAGCTCAAGTAAAAATAACATTATTTAAAGCGTACTGTACATCGTTGTACTCTTGCAGTCTATGGAGCAGGTTCGCACAACGTTCTCACGATGCTTTGCGGGTCCAATACAACGACGCATTTAGGGTGCTTTTACGTCTTCCACGACGCTGTAGCGCTTCCGGAATATTTGCGGTCGCAAATGTCGACGGATTCGGTGCGACGTTGCGCAAGCGCTGCAGCGCATCGATGCGCAGGTTGCGCGCCAGCCGTCACAGACTCCTGTCTGTTGTAGCTGACAGGTGGGACAGTGGTCTATTAAGGCACTGGTCTTCTCTCCATTTAAGTTTAGGTACTAACATAGTTATTATTTAAAGTTCGTTTTGTAATACTAACACCCTATGGATCAACGTTGTCCGAAATAAATGCATTTTATTTTTATTTTTTATTTTGTTAACTAAATAGAAGTTTCGTTTTATTTCACTTTTTTAAGATTAGTACTTAACATTTATCTACGACCTTACCCAGGGAAAATTGAAGATTTATTTATTTATTGCTATACATGTACAATTGTTGTAAACTGATCTTAATTTTTTTTATACTATCAAATTACAAGACGAACAACCTGTGAGCCTGCTGGTAAGCTACATGCCTGTCCATACCAGTTGCAGTGCCACTCAGAGCTTTAAATCGCAAAGATCTGAGGGGCACTGCCAGTGCGCCCGTCACCCTGAGACGTAAGTTGACAACTCCCATGTGCCTGTAATTTCACCAAAGTTTATTTTTTAATTTTATTATATTACTTCAATTTAGAGAGGTCGCATGCAAATAATTATTACATTATAACAAAACAAAGAAGTACATTAGATAATAATATATGGTTTAGAAAATAGCTAAAAATAATTCAATGTCAACTAAACACAAGTAAATATAAAAACTTTCTTAGGCAGACCGCAAAATAGAAGGTATGTACGAGTATCGTTGGTAATGTCAATTTATCTTTGTCGTTAAGAAAATCATTTATGAAATAATAATATTTTTCAGTTACAAAATATTTAAATTAAATACAAAGGATTCACTTTGGTCATTTTTAATATTTTGATAAATCTGTATATTACTATACATATATACGGACTATTTCTGAACAATTCTAATCCTGGCTTAGGAAGCACATATTTGTTTGTTGCGCCGTGAACTACGTGTGACTTCATAGTCGGTGATATTATTCCTTACAAAATTTGCAACTTCGAGTATGTATATACAGCTGATAACTCTTTTGATTAAATAACACTGCAGACACACACTAAAATAATAAATTCTTCCCGAAAAATATAGTTATTTTTCGGAAGGAATGTAGTCATTCCTTCGGCCGCCGCCATTAGAACCAAGCTCTTGACAGTTCTCGTGCGTAGTAGAAATTAGCAACATAACTTTTTTTTTTATAAAGTGTAAGTGCGCATTTGACCTCCATCTCACCTGATGGAAAGTAACAATTAGGTCGACGATGCATACCTAAGTAATGCCTATTCACTCTCACCTTGAAAAGACTCAAGTTATGACGTTCAGGGAACAAGTCTGCAGGCAGGGAATTCCACTCCATAGCCGTTCGCTAAATAAATATGGAAGCGTAACGCTCGTGCGGATCTTTGGAATATCCACAACATAGGGGTGGTACCCAAACCGACGCCTAGTCCTCCGGTGATGGAAAAGGGAAGGCGGAATTAAATCGTGTAATTTCATCGTACACTCTCCGTAATATACCCTATAAAATACCGATAAGCAGGTAACTTTATGGCGGTGTTCAAGGCTCTGCAGCTTCGCCTCCACTAATTCCTACAAGCTTCTTGCCACGGTTGTCAATTGAATCCAAGGTGACCAATTGGTATGTAGCAGAGCCATCTCAAAGCTGACAGCAGTAATCCATGCACAACTTGACTTGTGCTTGGTACAGCTGAAGCAACTGTCCCGGTGTAAAGTAACGCCTTACCCTGGAAAGGATCCCAAGCTTCCTTGTTACATTTTTAGCCATGAATGGACTGTTTTTGTGCTTCAGCACAACTACAATCAGCGTTAAATCTGGGAAGAGCTTGGAGTCCATTTGGTACATCAGAGTATGGTATGTAGTACTACATATCCAAACGCAAGATCTCGACTACAGCATCAGCACAGCTCGACGAGTCTCCTGAAGTAAAGCACGCCTGCCAAGGATATGACGCAAAGAAATGACGCATTTCGTCCCAATCTGCTAACCTGTGTCGCCACACCCTTCTCATACCATTAGGACCGTGATCGGATGGAGAGTATACAGATACAATTTTCACCAGACAATGGTCGGAAGTACCCAGTGGGGCCTCCACAGCCACAGAATAGCGGTCTGGATCAGTTAACAGAAGGTCCAAGCAATTAGCCGAATGAGACTCAACATCTGGGATCCTGGTGGCGGCACTGACGAACTGGGAAAGGCTTAGCGATAACGCAAGTTTACACGTCTCTCTCCCAGCACGATCGGTCATGTGGTATGGGAACAATCATACTTGATGGTGAACATTAAACTCCCCCAGAATGACTTATTGCGGCGCTAGGTACCTGAGCTGAGCCTCATCAGACGTCTCAATTAGACGTTAGCACAACTTGGTCATCTCCGGATCTCCACTGTGCGGGCGGTAGACGCAGCAGTACACTATTTGTGTAACTCCTGTCTCAACCAAAAGCTAAAAAACAGAAAAAATCGGTGCCTCAAAAGTTCTTGAGATGCTTGACACAGATGTCATCTCGAACGTACACACTGACTCCGGCACGAGATATGAACCTGTGCTCCAGAGTATACCCGGGGTAGCTGAGGTACGCTGCGTCAGTCGGACATCTGATCTTGGTGAGGAACAGCAACTGGGGTTTGTCGATTTCAAGGAGGTAGTGGACCGAATCGAGATTTGAGTGCAGACCTCAGATATTAGTGAGGTGCACTTTTGGTGGGAGGATGTGCAACCACTGTGTAAACTTTTTCCTTTTCTGTGACTTTCCATGTTTTGAGAAGTGAATAGGCAGGAGGGACGCAATTGAACGAGGCATTGCGTCGTGTTCAACCAAGCAGCAAGCTTATATTACCACACGAGGTTACAATCGGTTTGGAGATCGTGGGGACACCCGATCCCTCCCGGAGATGGCCACCGGGTCCTCCTCTCCGGTCGCCAACCGGCAAGATGGAGCATTCCGGGATTTTTCGTTGGGTGGCGGGGCAGCCTTTCACAGGTGGCTTTCCCGCTACTTGGGCCTCCAACTTCCCACGGTCGGCCAGCGGAACACCTTGCTTCGGATCCCGCTAGCCTCCAGAACTAAGTGCTCATTGTGGCAGTACAAGCAGCTACAATTCGTCGTCAGACGCAATGCAGCTGTTCAGGCCCGACCTCCCAATGGCAACTCCCGAACACGAGTCGGAACACGTTAAAAACCATTTGGCGACTTGACTACGTCGGGAGGGTGGTGACTAGCCACGGCCGAAGCCTATCACCAGTAGTTGTTGCACTTTGAGACCACCATGGGTCACTTACGTAGGTTTAAGACCGTAGGGTCTCGAGGGTTAACCTACGGAAGCGAGTAACATCAACTCCCAAAAATATTAATACTTAGAATGAATGTTGTTATAATCATATTCCTAATATGTAAATTAATGAAACATTAAAATAACTCCATTCTTATTGCATATAAAACAAAATAAACAGTATTTTATTTACCGATTTCATTCAAGAAGGACACAAAACCATAACTACATAATTTAGTTACGTAGGTCACTCAATAAGTTTTGAGATAAAGAAAAAATATCAAACATATTAATATAATTTATTTCACATTTTTTCTAAATACTCTCCATCATTATCTACACAAAGTTTCATTCGTCTAAACCAACTCTGAAAACACTTTTGCCAGTCTTGATCTGCCAGCATTGAAATTGCCATTTCGTAGGCAGCTTCTCTTCGACATTCAAAAAAAATTTTCCTTTGATTTTTTCCTTCACTGTTGGGAACAAGAAGAAATCGCAGGGAGGCAAGTCAGGGCTGTACGGCGGGTGATTTAAGGTTTCTATACCAGATTGCTCAATAAACGCCTTTGTTCTGAGGGACGTATGTGAAAAGGCGTTATCGTGATGCAGCATGATTCCCCAAAGCCCGGTCTTTGGTCTCCTCTCCCGCACAGCTTGGAAAACTTTTGGCAATGCTACTGTTGTGTACCATTCTGAATTAACAGACCTTCTATTTTCTAACATTGACGTCGACAAATGTCCGCTCCGAGAAAAAAAAGTAGCTACCATTTTTTTGCTGACGTTTCGAGGTCTTTGCAACTTTGTCGGTAATTGTTCCTCTGCCAAGACCCACACCGACGACTACTTCTTGCTTTCTGGATCGTATTGATAGATCCATGTTTCATCACTAGTAACGATTTCTGAAACACGTCTCGATGTCCCGTTTTCGAAACGTATAAGCATTTCTCGGCACCAATCCACTCGAGCCTGTTTTTCAGTACCGGAGAGCAATCGTGGGATCCATCGACAACAAAGCTTCCTCACTCCAAGATGTTGATGCAGGATAGTATTGACGCTCCCCGAACTAATGCCTAGGATCTTCTCAATGTTCGTGTACGTGATTCGTGGATCTTCTCACACCAACATTTCAGATGTCCACACATTTTCTTCAGTAACTGCTGTTTCCGGGCGTCCGCCTCTTAGGTCATCTTCAAGGTTAATTTTGCCTCCTTTAAATTCCTTAAACTACCTAAAAACTGTTGTACGAAAAGGAACAGAGTCATCTAATGCTGACTGCAAACGTTCCAAACTCAATTGTTCAGTTAAACCACATTTAAAATCATAGAAGATCTTAGCACGCAAATGTTTACAGTTAAGATCCATTATTGAAAAGAAAAAGCGCGGGAAGCGTTGTAGTAAAATGACTAACAATGTCATTTTTTTTTAAATTTAGCTAAATTGCTTTTGATGATCTATTTTAAACAAATTTGCTTTTTAAAAACATATAATATGGGTGCGTTCCATTTTTAAATTTCGAGTATCTCAAAACTTATTGAGTGCCCTACGTATTACAGCTATAAAAAGATACTTAAATTTATCATCATTTTTATGTAATCTAACACAGGGAACCATTGACCTGCCAACAAAGAGAACGGTCAACAGTTTATGTTTTTTTTTTTAAATGGCCTGCAATTTGAGGCCCTATGTGAACGAATTGTATACCCAATCTCCAACTACTTCTCCTTAATTTTTTTCACCTACTCAGAATATTTTGTCATTTTTTCATTTATCTTTTTATTGGTGATTGAATTTTTGTCTGTCAATAACTGAAATCTCGTACATAATTCCAATCATAAAATGTCACATTCATACACATATTCAGCCTTTCGGTTGAAATTGCTTATCGACTAGGACTTCTTTCGTTATTTAGGCCTAATAAAGTAAAAAAGTAAATTCCTATCCCATCGGGTCGAAAAGTTTTTCTATGGTGTGTTCGATCTTTATACCTATCAATAATCGTAATAGAAACTACTAAAAAGTAAAGTGCTGCAGTCAGGTAAATTCATCGATTCAAATTACATTCTGTAGATTCTAGACTGATTTATTTGTCCCGTATGATAACATTATTATTGATTTTATTATTGTCGATAATATTACTACTATTATATAAGTAACTTTTATTTATTTTCAAAATAAATTGAAATGTTAAAGATTCTCTTAAACCACTCACTGATATTAATTGTATACCAATGCATAAATACATAAAATCTTACACTATTTGGAAACCTTTAAACAATTTCTTTCTAATATCAATCTTGAGGTTGGAAATTCATGAGATGAGATCGTCAGATTAATGTTATAAAATGTTCGCTTTTTTAATATACTCTCAAATTACATATTTCCCTGCACAAATAATAATAACGCACACACTCAACATAGCCCCGCACTAGGGAAACCCTGGGTCGCGGGTGCCATGGACACACACATAGACAACCACAAATGACACTCAAACTCACGAGAGAAATAATTGTAGGCCATACAAATATTTCTCCGGGCCCGGGAATCGAACTTGGGACCTCTGCGTGGCAGTCCGACATGGTAACCGTTCGGCCACCGAGGCAGTTAATTAGCACAAATTCACTTTTTGTAATATTTGAGCATTTATAAATGCAAAATAAAAAAAAATCTCACAAGACATTCCCGGATATTCCCAAATGGAATATTGATCGACTTTAATTAAACGTTTGCAAGTCGATAATGATTTTTCGATAGATTATGGTACAACACTAAAGAAATACGCCTTTTGTTCAGTTAAATTTTTGTATAAGCATGTAAAAGAACCTATTTCACCATTCACACTTTACATTCACGTTATGGTCCGTTATTGTCTATGGGATCCGAAGCCCAAAACGAAACCGTTGTAGCTCACGAACTGCGAACGGTTCAAGGATCGTTTTGATTTAGTACGCAGCTGCGGTTGTATATTTTGAGAGTAGACATTTAACACACGACAATGTTTAAAATTAAAACAATATGTAATGTATAAAATTGGTTTATTTCTATAACGTTTTATCAGCATACATATCCAATGTGAAGTTCCAATGGAACACTATTTGAAATCTTTCTCTCTCCTTCTAGTTCTTGGGAACGAAGTTTTTGTCGTGAACGTAAAAGGGGTTATTCATAGAGTAAGGGAAGTGCTCGCCCTCGAAATAAATGTACACATCCTCGAAGTACGCATTAGGTTGGTACAAGTAAGGCTCGTACACTGGGCGGTCTAATGGATAGCCGAAAGGTTTGTTGTCAATTAGACCGAGTTCTTTGTACTCCTCGCTGGGAGCCTCGTATGGGTAGACAAACACAAACAATTGATACGGGAAGCCACCGTCAGTACCCTTCGGGAGCATCAACCTGTTAGGGAAGTGTTCGCATTTCTCAGACATTTCAAAAGGCACCTTACCTTGTTCAAGGTACTTGAAGATATCTGTGACAGGCACAGAGTCTTCTTTGTAGTAGTAGAATTCCTTGGAATGGCGTTCAATCTTGTTCTGGCCAGATTTCAGTTTGTACGTGAACCAGTCTAGTTCATAGAAGTTCATCCAGTTATCCTCAATGTTGATAGGGTAACCCTTGCTGTCGTACTTGGGTCCTAAGAATACCTTGAACACGGCTTCTCCTTCAACATCAGACTTGACATCAAAGGTGAACGTGAAAGGCTTGTGATTCAAACGCGGCTGACGAACCTTGTACCTAGGAGTCATGGTCTTGAATTCCTCGGTGTTCCTGTAGATTCCATTGGTGATGTCGTAGTCATAGAAGTCGAAGTAGGTGACAAGTTTATCGAAATGTACGTCGTTGATCTTTACACCAGAGTAGCGGAGTTGGTTCTGAGAGTACGGCTCTAGATACTCCTTGTACTGCAGGAAGTACTTGAGAATCTTGCTGTACATCTGGTAGAACATCGGGTCACGCAGGGAGGTCTGGTAGAAGTTGAGGGCGAAGGGCGGAACCGTGTATCTTTAAAATAAATAAAATATGTTGGTTAGATGTCACAATCATTATGATATAAAAATATAAAGATTATTTAAAAACCAGTTAAGTTATCCAGAGATAAAGGAAGTACTTACTGGTCTAGAGGCTCAGGACCAGCACCAAGAAGATGGCGGGCAGTGGTTTCGTAAGAACGGAAGTAGTTCCTAGGTCCGGCGTGCTCGTACAGGTCGGGATTAGTTTGCCAGAAGTTGCCGACGAAGTTGATTGACTTAGATTTGTGGAAATCAACATCCTGGTTGTACTGAAATAAAAACAGTTAGTTAAAACAAGATGTTTGTTGAAAAAAATCTTAAGAAATTTAGTTACTTACAGCCTTGAACTGGCCTCTCTGCAAGTACTGCGTGAAAGTCTTCTCGTAAGTGTCCAAGAACTGTAGTTCCTCATAGTACTTTTCAGCAGGAATGGAGTAGTAGTTATTCCTCTGGATGAAAGGATAGTTCACAGTAGACAAGAAAGGTGTGTATCCATACTTTATTGGTTTCCACCACGTGAATTCGGGAATTTCGCCCAATCCGTTTGAAAGACGTTCCACGTAGTAACGAGCCATAAGTTGCTGGTAGAAGAAGTAATAATATTCACCACGACGATCTTTCAGGAATTCGTATTTCCCACCGTCCATCCAGAAGGGGAAGTACGAGTGGAAGTAATAGTAATAAGCATTTAGACCAATGTCTTCGGTGAAGTAAGACAGTCTTTGCTCCTCATTGCCATAGGTCCAGTAGTTGGAATAGTTGGCATAGTAGACAAAGTAATTGTCCTCTTTGACAATGCCGTAGTTGCGAGCGACTTCAGGTACGATGGGAGCATCCTGCATCTTTATACGGTAAACTTTGGCCATGGTTTCCATGTTGGTGAAAAACTCAGGATATAATTCATAAGGAGAAGGCAGCACGAAGCCCTCTGTGTCTGGCCGATGGATAACAGCGATGTAGAAAGTGTACACGAATTGATATTCGTTCAAGTGCACGCGGGCCCAAGCCGCGGTTTTGTAGAAGGTATCGAAATCCTTAGCGTAGTAGAACAAGTGGAAGAGAGCAATAGCCTCCTCCCTCATCCTCTCGTAAAAGATCGAGAATATTTCATATTTCGGCAGGAATCCAGTCTTGTAGAGGTGCAGGAACTCCTCAACTGCCTTCTTGTTCTGTATTTAAAAATACGATTATTGGTATTGAGTGGTCTCTGAATGAATCTCGAGAAAGCCATTTTATTAAACAAAGTAATAAACAAATACTTACAGTGTAATTCTCGATGTTAGCTTCTACATCGTAATCGTGACCAATTTTGTACCACTCAGCTTCAGGGTTATTTTGTTTGTAGTACGTGAAGAGAGACAACACCTGCTTCTGACGAGTTACGAAGGACCCGTCAACTAAAAAGGAAAAAGTATGCAATTTGAAACAATAGTAACAATAATAGCAATAACCAATAAGAGAAAGAAAAGTGAGAAATTTAACTAAATTATAACCTCGTTGCTTTTTGTAACTAAAAATAAAGTAAAGTAAACAGACAATTAAGAAATTTAATATTTATGTGTTTCAAATGTTACATTATAAAAGATTGTTCATGGATCACGCAAAGCTGACAAGATTTTTTTGCCGAGAAAATTTTACTTACCCTGTTTTAGTACAGGAGTATGGTGTTGGGAAGGCACATTTGCCGCGAAGGCAATGGCCACGAGACCGGCTAGAATGACGACAGACTTCATTATTCCCGAACGAGGAGTGAACTGTGCCTTTCCTCTCTCCCAAATCACCTTTTATACTTTTGCAACACTCACCAAAATTGTATCCAGTTCGTTGATAACTTAATGTCATCCATATCTTGTGACCTTTGGATAGATAATGATGAAGGTGCCAAATTTCTGTTTGTTTATTTTATTGGTGGCCTTTACATATCTATCTGATAGACACAAACATATTCCAATTGACTCCACCAATTGTTATTTTTTCACATTGCACAGTTTTATTATAGTATTGTTGTATAATTAATTACAACTCCTTTTATGAAAAAAACCTACCTCAAAAGTTTGCTTATCCGGTTTCGTTTTTTATTGTATGTGTTTTCATTGAAATTACATCTATGATCCAAGTTTTATTGAAATCGGTTAACGAAAAGTGTCTGAAATTCAACATTCCGATTTCATCTTTAGAGCTAGAATATTTTCTTCAAAGATCATTGGGCACTTTTGGGTGGAACATTTTACCCAATAAGCACACAAATGAAATAGGGTGCAATAAACAGCTAAATAAGCTATACTTTGCAATACTAGAGATATAGTAGCAGTTGAGAGGTTTAGTAGCAGTGGAGCTCCTTGTGAAGGAGTTCGTCCTGCTGTACTGTACTGTACTGCCACCTTACCTATTTCTGTCGCCAAGCAGTAATGTCAGCAATATTGTGTTCCAGTTTTAAAGGGTAAGGGTGCTGGTGAAATCACAGGCACGTGGGACTTGTCAACTTATATATCAGGGTGATGGACGCAGTGACAGTGCCCCTCAAATCTTTGCTATTTAAAGCTCTGAGTGGCACTGCAACTGTTATGGACAGGCGTGTAGCTTACCATCAGGCGTAAGATTTGTTCGTCCCGTCACTTGATATTATAAAAAAAGTCGCATTCTTGCAGGGATTGGCAAGTATATTAAATCATCTGTTTATTATACAATATTCATATAACAATAAGTCATTATGATATTAAAACTATATTACAATTGCCTACATAGCCATTTTCTATCGTTTTTCAGCAATAATAAAGTAGCGGAGTTAGAATTTACAAACACTATTATTTAGTATAGCCATGCAAAAATGACCAAGAAGAAATTTCATTACTATATGCAAAAAATAAATAAAAAAAACCTTACTAACTTTTTGGGTTTATACAGCTTGTTCTTTTTACTCCCATCAATTAAAAAAAAATTATATACGGAATTAATACTGGCTTAAAATGTAGATGAAAAAAGGTATTTCGTTTGTGTACATAAAATTGTACAAAGCGGGTAAATTTTGACCAAACGAGCATTATAATAACATTATAAAGATGGAGAAGAAACCATCTTTATAATGTTATTATAATGCTCCTTCATGATACAATCGATGATTCCGCCAATCGATTAGGAAGACATGCGATTTTTACTCAAAATTTGACAGGTGAATTTCAAAAAACAGGTGTTCGAGGGTACCTTCTGCCAGACTACACTCGCACAGAGAGAGGTGTCGAACACGAATCATAGCCAAGAACACAGGCGTGCATATGTATACTGAGCATACGCGAATAATAGTGGAAGTAGCATTTAGCGGGATCGATTTCCTAATTTACCAAATGGTCTTTAAATTATCGAAATCGGTTCACTAAATGTCTAAATGTGTAAAAGGTTAAGTTTGAATTTTTAAATGGGAGAGGCGGTGTTCCCCGGCTTTCCCGGCAATGGCACAGTCGCCCGGCGTCAGGGACTCAGGTTCAAGAACCGGTGAACGATACATGCCGTATCAAGCAAGACAGCCTTCTGCATTTGTGCTGGAAGCGATACGCTACAGAAATCCAACCAAAGTGATATCACCTCATGACTAATAACAACATTTTCAGACGCATACTGTTTAACGTCCTATAAAAATACTTTTTTTAACTTTTTATTTTTTATCCCCGGCGCAAAACAGGGAAGTTATAAATTTGAAGCCCTTGTCCGTGTATCTATCTGTACGTCAGTCTTTGGCATCGTAGCTGCCAAACAGATGGACTGATCTCATAGCTGATCTGTACTCTAAGCAAGGTTTGAAATTATCATCCATGCTGATTCAGTTTTTTTTTACTAAAAATGAATAAATTCACTTAAGTATTTTGTAAAAGAGACATAGTACTTGAGTAAATTAAATTTAAGTAAAACTGTAATTTTTAATTGCTTTATTATTTGAAAATTACAAAATATCCAACATCCTATTTTTTTTTCAATATGTAACATAAATATTGTAAGCCATTATAAAAATTTCTTACTAGTTTAGTTAGTTTAGTTTATTAGTTTAGTTGTTATTGATATAAGACTCGTACATCCATAACAACTAAACGAAGAACAATCTTTGGGTAAACGTGTGATGGCGCTGCTGGTGATGGTGGCGTTCTGTAAACTGTAAAATAGCCAGGATAGCAGTAATATAGCCTGGTCCAAGGGTAGTAATAGTCTCCGCAGCCCCGTAGCCTCCATACGTCTTACTTAGCATGTTTTAGCAGTTGCAAAGACGAAAGACCGGTTTATAGGAATTTATTCTGTACATCAACAATATTAATATCTTAAAATGTAAACGGTTCAAAAATAAGAAAGTAGATGTTTTCGCTACCGCGATCGCGCAGAGAGTGACGATGGAAAGAAACGAAATCAGAATGCGAGGTAAAATGGAACAATTCAAAATTTTAAACTTATATATGAGCAGAAGAAGAAAAAACGATACGATACGAATGGAGAGAGGCGATACAAAAAGGTGGGATGATGGTGTAAGGAGGTCACACCGTCACAAACGATTTAATTTGTGACTTTATTAACCGACTTCAAAAAAGAGGAGGTTCTCGATTCGACTGTATTTTTTACGCGATGCCTCCGGCATTTGTGAACCGATTTTAATATTTTTTGTTGGAATGAGGATACCTCAGTATTGCTCCCATTTAAATTTGAAGAAAATATCCCACCTACAAGCGCGTATGCACACAACATCCGATTCGTATTCGTTCCTAATCCGAGACTATACAAATCTAGAAATCTCGAACCGACTTCGGATGTCGCTTGTGCACTAAGTCCGAGAAAATACGAATGTCGCTTGCACACCTAGAGATAAAAAGACACTTCGGACGCCTGTGACATTTCGGACAATCATTCTCAGCTTGGCCGCAGAAATAGGTAAGGTGGCAGCACTTCCTCGGATGAACTCTTTTACAAGAAACTCTACTGCTACAAAATTTGAATTTTCATGTATTAATGAAAATCCCCAAAAAGTCACAAAGAAGTTGTTTATTTTTAAACTGCAACAGTGCAATTTGTTTTTTGAACTACGTAACCAATGTCAAGTTTTCAATGGAAAACATTGATAACAATCACTGCATCCGTCCATGTTTAAATAGATACCGAATAAGTAGGTATAAAAAAGTAGTAAGTACGTACATTGATAAATAACTTGGTTCCTTCATTTCGCCTTAGCACAAAGAAGAAGAGACCATTTTATTCACTTTAGTTTTTTATAATTAGTTATGGCACAATTGGATGGCTTTTGTATTTTTCTAAGTAGGTATTATATTTTGACACTTATTTTTGTCCACTCAAGGAAATAATCATCGTAATACATCTAATTGAAAAAAGGGTACTAATTTTACGCCCTTATTACAGGATAGAACGACACTAGCCTAGTCCAATTTCACGTCAAAGTAAATTGAAACGTTAATAAATAAAGTTTTTATTGATTGGAAAATGATGCAATTACACATTTAATTGAATAAGTTTTCCTTTAATACGTTCTTATTATCACCTTACTTCTTAGTGAGGTTCCGCATAAAACTTCTTACACAAAGGTCTATGTATTGAGGCAACTTCAACACATTGTGACTTTTATACATCGAGTATATAACCAGAAATAGAGACGAAATAAGGGCCATATATTCATGGTAACACATTAGCAATACAGCTCTTATAAATATCAACTCCCGTTTGTACTGAAATATAGACAGACCAACTACTGACCTGTGTGTACGTCTCCGTATATTCCAAAAAATATTCTGAATTTATTGTAATAAAGATAATATCTCTAACAATGCCGTGCTGTTCTATTCGGTGATATGGGAAAAACAGCAAAACATCTAATTACAAAACAAACGGAATCACATTTCCTCGGTAATTAAATATTAAATATGTAATTTTGCAATTTTCGTCCAGTATAGCAAATCTCAAGTTAACTGGTCGATTTGAAGTGAAACAGTTGATGACACCCATTGACGACACCCGTCTATTGTTTCCAATTCGGGCTGGCCAATCGGAGCGCAGTTGCCACAGTAATGAAATGGCAGAATAGTTTTCAAACAAATTAAATGACATTTCATCTCTATTTCTGGTTATATACTCGATGCTTTTATATAATTTGTCCGCCGCAGAGGTTCTTCCAAAAATAAGTATCTCTCTGCTGCTTAATCATTGACGTTCTTCGTGGGAATTACCCGATTACAATGAAACTATGTATCGAGTATATGTACTCGTATAACCAGAAATAGAGACGAAATGTCGTTTAATTTGTTTGAAAACTATTCTGCCAACGTGACAACGGCGCTTCGATTGGCCAACCTGAATTCGAAACAATTGACGGGTGTCGTACAACGACCAGTGTAACTTGAGCTTTGCTATAGTAGACGAAAATGCAGAATTACATATTTAATATATAATTACCGATGAAATATGATTCCATTTGTTTTGTAATTAGATGTTTTGCTATTTTCCCACACCACCGAATGGAACAGCCCCCATTGTTAGAGATATTATCTTTATCACAATAAATACAGAATATTTTTGGAATATACGGAGACGTACATACAGTTCAGTTGTTGGCGCTGTACTATTTCAGTTTTCTAATTTGTGATTTCAGCGCAAATTAAAGTTGATATTTAAAAGTGATAACGGCCATTTACCTGATGTGTTACCAGGGATGGATGGCCCTTATTTTGTCTCTATTTCTGGTTATATACCCGATGGGCCAACCATAGTTGCCGCCATTAAGGGAAAA